CACTGAAATTGATGTAATAACATTAATATTAGTGAAAAAGACTTTAAATATATCTCATTAAAGCCAATTTAAGGATCTATGGAATCTATGGAATCTTTATAAGGAAGGAATGAAGGAAATTAAGGAAATTTAAGGATCTATGGAATCTTTATAAGGAAGGAATGAAGGAAATTAAGGAAAGATCAAGTTATTAACCATTAAAAATAATTGATCCTAATGAAATATAAACACTTTATTTAGACTTGGTAAACATGTTGAATAATTAAAAACCTACAGGACTACCATATAATTCATATGGCCAAGCTGGGCCATGTGATAACTTGAGGGCAAGAAATAGTGTAAGTTTGGGAGTATTGATATGCGTCAATTTTAAGTGATTTCACTTAATTTTCATAGTGCATTTTACCTCATTTATCATGATTTTATGGTTGTGGAAGGTTATTTGTGTTATTTTGCAGTTTATGTGTCAGACACACAAAACTGAGTCAAAACACACAAAATGGTGTTATCCAGCGTGACCACACCTGATCTGAGCACGACTGACAAACGACTCTGTCAAACCACAATATCTCATTTTGGAAGGTTTTCTTTATGTCGATTTTTGTTGGATCTTTAGAAGGGAAGCTAAGGCACGAATTGAAGCATCCTTGGGTGGAGATGAGAGTTGAGAAGGATGGAGAAGAAGTTTTTGAAAGTTTTCATTATGTTTTCTCTTCCTCTCTTTGGGTTGAAGTCCTAAGGTTTCTGCTAGATTTTTCTTTGCATTGTTTTTATATATATTAAGAGGTTATTGTATGAGAGAAGAGTTGGTTGCTATGGAAGAGAAAAAAAAAATCATTTTGTAAATGTTTACTTTTTAGTTTTACTTATAACAATAATTTTGTTTGGATGTTTTTCTAATTTTCTTTCTATCATGTGTAGCTAGACTTTCTTCACGCTTATGTGATTTATAGGATGTAGTTTTCTAGTTTTCTCGGATGATTTCTTTCCTTGTATCATTTTCCTGAGACATTAGGGCTTTCTCGTTGTTGTGTTAATCATAAAGTTTCATTCACTCCTAATTTGATCAGTTAGGATGCTAAAATATTTCGTCATCAGTGACTCCCACCCTTACGCAGAGGAAAAAAATGCTTAACCATAAATTATGGGTAACAATAAACATATTTTATCCAAGTTTTGTAACCTAAAAATGGGATCATAATAAATCAGCAGGATGCCATATAAATTGAGGAAGCCTCAACTTCATGGATTCTGACCTTATTTTTGACTTAAACATAGGTATAAAAAGAATTTTCTATCCCCGTTGACAACAATCACATTAAGGAAAGTCAAGAAATATTATGAATCTCCACATTACCTAAATTATAGGGGCGCAAGCCTCACATACCTTGAAGAATAGTAAGAGTTATATGTCGTAGTTTTCTGTATTTTCCAAACACGGTATCTTTTATTATTACTTTTAAGAAGCATTTTACGAAACTATCTTCTATTAGTCATCATGCTAAACTAAGTTTATGAGTTTAGTAAACTAGAGATTTCCCCTTTAAAAATTTTTCCCATGTGATCGTTAAGCAAGATTTTTTAACTACATCGTTACTTAACACGTGCATTTGCATTGTACGAGCAACTTAATTCATGCTAAGTTTTGACTCGTCAGTTGAATGATGGCATAATGCAAATAGTTAACCATGTGGTGGTGTGAATGCATAACAAAGTGGAAACAATGTTGGGGATACAAATTCGTGTATTAATAGGTGGAAGTGGGATCATATGTGCTAAGGAAAAAATTGTTATGAAGATGGAAAGGGAGTGGGATTTTCTAAAGGGTTTGTAAGGGCAAGTTGTGTTGAGCGATGATTAATTCTACTAATAACATATGACAAGATTTTTCACAATATTGAATATATATATATAATAATTGTGGCTAAAAAACTTCAGAAAATAATTCCTGAAAAATAGCGTCAGATTTTTTGTATGATTTGCCTTCAATAATTTGACGTAAAAGATATTTAGAAAGAGGCAAATAGTTGAGTGGCGTTGCAATGAATTTTACGTTGGATTTGCGTTAAATAAAGCGATGCAAGTACTATACTTAAAAGCTTCGAAAATATCAGACCTAAAGTATGGTTGGCGCTTATGTCCTAATATACCAATTCCTACTCCTCTTACTTCATTTTCATCATTGTGCCCCGGAAAATAGTCACGTCGCGCCCCTTCTTATCTTTACCCTCTCGTCATATCCTTGCCTTCGACTCCTTCTACTCGCTGTTGTCGTTGCCTCCGCGCTTCTCGATGAGAATGATTTAAAGATTTCTTTTTACTCTTAAAAATTGTGATGGTATTTTTACGAATCTTCGTTTACTTTGCAAACTAGTCACTTGTGAGGTTAAAATCTGCTTAAAAAAATAATGATCTGGGAGAGTTATGATTTTACCCAATTAGTAGATACTACACTTCATTCTAGACAGTCATTGCGATCACCTAAGAGGAAGTGCAAATAAATAGGAAGATAAGTTTTGATGGACGTAGAATTGGTTAAATCTAGAGTGACAGACTAAATTCTTATCAGTTTGACTTAAGGTTTAGTACCCTGATGCTGGGATTCGGTCATTACGATGGCATAGGCTAGGGGCATCTAGAGGTGAGAGGCTAGATAGCACTGATATGGAGTCGAGATGTTAAGGAATCGACTTTAAGTTAGCTAATGTTATTTGCAACCATCGGGAGGGGATAAAGAATAAGGTATTCTTCTATTTGTCACAATACCTCAAGTTTGTTTTAAATCATTTGAATCCTACATAGATTAAAATCTCATTGCAAGGGGAAAGATTTTTCATAATATCCAAATTTGTTATATTTTGTTAAGCTATTACATTTAGTTCTTACTTTCTTTTTAGCTTTTTAAGTTGTGATTTTTAGTAAGCATATTATTTTAGACCTCTTATCTATTTAATTTGCAATTTAAATAGAATTTATGTGAGTTGATTTTAAGAGTTACCGCATTCCTCGTGGGATTGATACTGGTGTTTTTAAAGAAAATTCATATTACTTGAAACGATGCGTATACTTGCACAATACCCCTAGTGTGAAAATATATTATATAATTCATATATCATTACATTTGTTCACACTAACCGCTAGATATAATTTGAGATATATTTTCTGGCAAAATTAAGGAGATTAAAAATACACGTAAATGCGAGTTGGGTCACATTCTCAATATGTTTTGTGTTGCAATGGACAAGAATCTCATTCTCATTTATTTTTTGAATTTCAATTCTCTTTCTCTATTTCAAGTGACAACATTCCCTATGGCTCTTATTTCTACCATGGGAGCTTCCTAAATCATTTTATGATTTATGTTGAGACAACTAGATGCAAAACATGGCATCGGGTGTAGGTGAGTTGGTGGCGGCTCTGCATAACTCCCCCCTCGACCAAGTTCGAATCTGCACATGAGGATTGATTGGGGTCCCCCCTTCACCAATCCTTTTGAAAGAAAAAAAAAAACTAGATGCAAAACGTCCAAAAAATTATTTCCTCTTACAATGATTATTACTTGTCATTATATTTGGCTAGAGAGATATTCCTTGATATTTTGGAATTCGATTGAGCAAAAAGAGGTTATTTTCAATCAAATCTGTATTGTCATTAAAGAAAGAAAAAAAAAAGGTGGTGAAATTTTGGGGAGAATATTCCTTCCCATATCAAAGATTTATTTTTCCTATAGTTTTCTTGTGTTTGTGGTTTTGCTCACTTATGGTTGCTTAAAACTGCTTACTTCGTGCATTTTAGGACTTCTCATGAGGCTTACGTTGGGTGGTTCTTTATCTTACTATTCAGTTGGATTTTGTTGTTTTGTTCACTCATGGTCACTAGAACACTGCCTCTTCTATGTTCCTTTTGCTATCTGCTACTTTTTTATGGGACCTAAAAAGATACTTTTTTTTAATGGAATTCTTTTGGGGAGAGTCAGCTGGATGAATTTGTTTACTGCTAGTCCTTGGATCATTGTAGATTGCATTCATTTTATTGGGGCTTCTTCTCGAGTTGCTTTGTTTCTGCTTCTATTTTGATGCTTTGACTAGTAGTATGCTCTCTAGCATCCTGGGTGAAATCTTCCAAGTAAAGATCGGTTGGAATTTGTTTTTGGAGTACAATGATGAGCACAATAACATTACTCATAATAAGCTCAACTATTTATTCTATTCTCTTTCATTCCTGTCATTTGATTCACAAGGTTATTTTGGCACTCCTTAATGGCTATCTGGAATTGCTTCCTTTCTGATGTATTGGAATAGGATTTATGGCTGCTTTCTGGTTTGGGATCCCTTCGATTTGTTTTACTGTGCTGCTGGATTTAATTCTTGTTGCTTGCTGGTTTGGGAACCCTTCATTTTATTTTGTTGTGTTGCCATGCATATTTCTTTGGATATCATAATTATGCTTACCATTTCCTTCACTTCCTGGGATCATTTCGTGTATGGAGATTGAACCAGATACCTCGTCTCATCTGTTGCATCCTGGATAGAATCACCCTATTTGATTTTTTTGGCTTTAGAAAGTTTTGGCATGAGCTACGATGTTTGCTGTGATTATACCAATGGGCTCAATTGCCTGTCTGAACACTATTTTTTCTGTAACTGGAAGACAATTGGTTCTAGGTGTGGCTTCTCATCATTATATACCCTGATTTTTAATGGTTAATAATTTTCCTTCATGGTGTATTCTTCTTCCTTGGACAGATAGTATTCTTGTGTTACCTTCGTGTAACATCTTTTATTTGATAATCAGCAGCAGCCCCTGAACTCTCTTGTCTGGATCCCAGTTTGTGTCTTTGCTAGTCTGTTTCTGCTAGTGTTTACTCCTTAGTGTGGATGTCTTCATGTACAAGGTCTATTAAGTTCTTTTATCTTTTTTTTTTAATAAATGATACCATTTTTATATTCTTTTTTGTGCTTTTAACATCTTTATCAATAAAAATTTTATCAGAATGAAGATAATTCAAACCACTTAAAACATCTGCATTAAGCATTTACAAGCCAAAGGTGCACAGAAGCAGAAATAAAAAGAAGCAACATAGAATAAAGCATCCACATACAACTACAGTTATATACCAACTGTATTATTTTCTCCCAAAGACTGCTGGCTGAAGCACACAAAGAAAGTAGAAGGACAATATAAGCCACATCCTTCACTGCAGAACCAAACAGCTTTCTGGGAAAGTAGACACAGTGGATGTGAGCGGGAAGGCTTCTTCTTCATTCATCTTTGTCTCCATCTCATCCTTCTCAGCCTCCACAGTACCAGTGGCCCCAAATATAAAGGATTTCACCTCTTCGAACCTCTCCTCAGAAAGGGAAACCTCAGCCAAGAGTCTCCATGCATATTCCTCAGATGCCTCATCATAATCCTTCCTCCGTTTGAGCACCATGTGGCCACTAATCTCCCACACTGCAGGGTTCACTTGTGTTTCTAGGAGCTCCTGGCTCACTTCCCCAAGGGCCTGTTTCTCAGCATAGCACTGTACAATGCCATCCAGGAAGAAAAGAACTCAGAAACTCAAATGACTAGGGGATTTCAAAGTTTTAATTATAAATGATAAGGATAAACTAAAGCTATTTCAGTACCAAAGTATTAGCAATGGATAATCCCTCTTATAATTAATCCTGCCTTATGAACCATGTTCGATTCTAGAAATGTCACCTTAGCATCAAGATTAGGAAGAACTAACAAAACTTTTAACTTTAAGAAGCACATCATCATATCAGGTACATATGCGCTCAATATGAAATCCACGTGTTGATGCCCTAGACAAAATCTACAGTGTTGTAAAAGTTTATAATCCAGTGGCCAAGTAGCCTTTTAACAAGGAAACTTGATATATAAACATCCAATATGATGCAATGTAGTGTAGTGAGCTTTCAACTTCCAAGACTTATTTAACATGCTCGCTCACCAATAAATAAAAAAGCAGACCGGGAAAAGATCAAATAGCTTAAATGAATACACATCAATATTGCAATTACATACATAGCACTCAATTCTTATGCATTTACATATAACTTTCATATTTACACACATAGCATTCAAATCTTTAATATCACCTAAAAAATATCACTATTATCACTTCTTAAAAATGAAATAAACGCTTTCATGCATAAGTTTAAAGTACCAAAGTGCTACGTGAGTAAATATGAAAGTTTAGGTGTGAGATACACAAATACATAAGAATTGTGTGCTCGGTATGTAAATTTCCCAAATATAAGAAAGCCCAACTAAACACTCACTTCAAAGAGGATCATGTTCAAGAATAAAATAGAAAAAACATCCCTAATAAAGTTATAATCAACAATATCCACCATGAGATCCTTAATAAGCCAAACTTTTAAAATCTGTCATAAGGAGAAATCCATGTCTAGAACTTTTTTAAAACTACAGCATCAGTAGAAAATCAAACCAAGTTAACACCAGTTATTTTGGAAAAAAGGTAAAAACATGATGCCATAAATGAATTTCAGCCACACAAAAATATCAAGCAAATGGAAAAAAGAGGGTAAAAACAATGATGTAATATATTAAACTAAGCATAACCATAACACAATGGGTGCATACAAACAAACACAAAATTAGCCACTACACAGTTAACAGATGATCTTAAAAACTCCATTTTTGAAAAGTGGCGCTTGAGTAAAATAAGATGTGAATTGTACTTAAATCTATCGATTATAAAGTTAATAAAGGTAAAATTTACCTGTGGAAATATAAAAATTCTCCTACCACAGTCAGAAATAAGCACATTAAATGGGATGTTATTTTCTTGAAGGCAAATGCAGGATTGAGCAACAACATCAGCCAAGTCTTTTAGGCTATTTCCGCCTTCATAAACTAGGCCCCTCACTGGGTAGTTGACAAGACTTGAGATCTTTACATCACCATTCTTGGCCAGACCTCCAATAATATGAATCTTCTTAGTTTGTGCTTTCTCCACAGGAAAAGGCATTGCCAAGTAATACGCCTGCCACACAAACAAAGAAAATATGTTTTTTTTTTCCTCTTTGAAGTGTTCAATGGCAGGTAAAGTTGATTTTGCTTAAAAATAAAATATATTACCTGGAAGTGTAAATGGTTAATGGTGGCAAAGGCACCCAAACTGTTATAACCCAGCCTGAAGTAGGGACTTCCTGCTTCGACTGCCATGTGAAGTGCAAGTAGTAAGCTTTCTGGATCAATCCTTTGAGGCAAACACTCAAGCACACGGGGAATCAGTAGAACGTGGCTGTACTCGATCGGACTCACCTGAAACCATGAACAATCTTAACAGTAAAATCAAACAAAAATGCCTCAGCAACATTAAGAAAAAAAAGAAGAAGAAGAAGAAAACCGTCAAAATAAATCTTACATTAATAGCAACAACATTAAGACGAACACCCTTATCGACAGAAGCATTCTCAAAGAAGCAAGCTGTATCATCTTCACCAGCCTCAAATCGGAACAAGACCTCTTCCTGGCCAACCTTGGTAAAGTTAAATTTGCTTGAATCAAAAGGTTGCAGGACCCTATCAACCCTGAACTCGGTCGGTCTTTTCTTGAGATGGCGCCCCTCATTGAGTTGCGCTACAAAACCATGCTCCCCTGGAATCACCTTTGTTTCACAAGCAGTCACATCATACCTAAACAATCCTCGGCTCATGCGATCCTCCCACTACATTGTAAAACCCACCAAACCAATTTCAGCACAAAAATCACCACATAGCAAGATAAAACACATAAAGAGTCAAACTTTATGGCCTCAGCAACGACAATTACCTGTCCAAATAAGAGATCGTTCAGAAAAAAATCAGATGAGAGATCTCCCTGAGCAGGAGAAGCCACAACCGGCGACCTCTGACTAAAGGCATAAAGAGGAAGCTTGGAGACTGCAAACAAAACCCCAAATCCTAAATCGTTACACTAATGAACCCAAAATCCATAAATTTACTGCAGAAAGAAGCCGATTACCGGGAAGGCAGCAATCCCCAAGGCAGTTGCGGCCGCATCCGGAAGACTCTTCCTGGTAATTAGAAAGGACGGTCGGGACCCTTTTGATGGTTAGCATCTCTAAACTTTAGACGAAGTAAGAAAGACTGGGAAGGAATATATAGAGAGAGAGAGAGAGGGACAGAGTTAGTTAAGAGAAAGATAGCGCGGAGAGATGGCCGCCACCAGCAAGGAAGAGGAGGTCGGATGGGCTTCCGCCTGCGGAAGGAAGGGCACCACGGCCACCGTGAGGGGAAGGGCAGCGGTGCATGTCAAGGGCGAGGAGCCCCACGCCCCGCTTCTTGTCCGGGAGGTTCTCCACTTGTGGGCGACGAAGATAGACGCGGTTGAAGTGCCGCGCACAGGCTCGAAGAGGAGCCGTGATTAGACAACACGAAGAAACCCTAATTTGAGCGATCACCACTCCAAGCTTATGATGATATCTCTCTCCCTCCCACCATTGCCGGATTTTGCTTGAGGAACAGATGAGAGCGGAGGATTTGCGCTGGGTGAAGCCAGATATATAGAGCTGCGGTAAGGGATTGTAGGGAGGAGGAAAAAGGGTAGATCCGGAGTATACTAAGCGTCTCCGCCGTTAAAATTTTGATCAAATACGAAATGACCATAACACCCTTAAAGTATATATATATATATATATATATA